TCTCTCTCTCTCTCTCTCTCTCTCTCTCGCTCGCTCTCGCTGTCACTCACTCTCCTTTCACTTTGAGTGTCGTGCTTGCCTCGCGAAGGTGCACGCACGCAGTGACTGATTCTCAATGCTATCGCACTGACCTTGTGATGCATCACGCGTCTCCGGTCAGTCACTGTGGCTTGGTTCTTTTTTCCGTTTTTTCTACTTTTGGTTCTGATGTCGATCCTCTTCTCTTATCGCAAGAGTCACGCGCGTTTCCTCGACTTCTCCTCACCGCACCTCACCTCACTGGCAATGAAGTCATCATCACACTGGTTGGAACGAAAGTCGGAGAATCGGAGCCAAACGGTGACTTTTGTCAAAAAAAAAATGCTCCGTTCACGCTTTTTGTTTTTGTCCACTGGCGCCATACTCACCGGGGTTGGTGTGTGCATGCTGATGCGAATGTGAATGACAAAGTCATGCGACTCCAACCCATCTCCATCACAGAGCAGAGGATGGTCGTTGAAAGCAGCACTGATGGCACTGTGAAGTGACGCCATAAAAATAAAAATAATAGTAATAATAATAATAATAGTAATTCATTTAATTCAATCACCATCATGCTCGAATGCCATTCGCTGGCGATGAATCAATGACACACACACACAATGCCGAGGATGACTCCGCACTGACATGGTATTCTCGCTTGCTTATTCCAATTTGTCAATGCAATGTGTGTGTGTGTGTGTAGCATCGCAGACATCCCCGCCGACTGGCAACTCGCCTCGGCCATCCGCGCATCCGTCCACCCTGTGCTCAAGGACCAGCGCATGCTCGTCCACCTCGGCCTGCAGCAAAGCAACGTTGACATTGTCAACGCCAAGTTCCACTCTGTCTCCAACCCCCAGAACGCTGACTTTGGTACGTGTGGCTGAGCGAATTGAAATCACAAAAAGTTGTCACTTTGACCTCACTTTGACCATCATCATTATCATCATCGTCATCATCCGCTTGATACCTGCTTGTAGGCAAGTTCCTGACCCGCGAGGAGCTCCGTCAACTCGTCGCCCCGTCTGCTGAGACCATCGAGTCGGTCGTTGCTTGGCTCTCGGCCAACAACGTTGTCGGCATCGAGTTCACCCACTCGAACGACTTTATCCGCGTCCGCCTCACCCCCGCCCAGATCGAGCAGCTCTTCAACGTCGAGCTCTTCCAGTACCAGTCGGCCTCCAACCCCGAGGTTTCGATTGTCCGCTCGGCCACCCACGCCGTCGTTCCCTCGGTTGTTGCCAAGTACATCAACCTCGTTCACGGCTTCACCCATTTGTAAGCCCACCAATGCTGCCTCTGCCCTTTGGTTGACTGCCAACCAACCTTTTCAGGTTTGCTCAACTCATTACGCCTCCTTTGTTTTTTTTTTTTTTTTTTGTTTTTTTTTTTGGTCTTCCTTTTTCTTTGTTTCTTTCTCTTTTTCTTCCCTAGCCCCATCCTCAAGAGCAACGAAAATAAGGGTGCTAACAAGCTCGGCGCCACCGGCTCCGTCACTCCCCAGGTCATCAAGAAGATGTACTCTGTCACTGACGTCTTCTCGGGCCGCACGAACGCCTCCCAGGCTGTTGCCGAATTCCAGGGCCAGTCCTTCTCGTCGAGCGATCTCGCCAAGTTCCTCTCTGCCTTCAGCCTGCCCAGCCAGACCGTCCGCAACATCACCGGCCCCAACACTGACGTTGCCCACATTGAGGCCAACCTTGATGTCCAGTACATTATCGCTTCCGGCCAGGGCATCCCCACCGATGTGTACCTCGCTGCTGGCGAAGACTTCAACCTGATTGGCTGGATTACCGACGTCGAGGCCAACGCCAACTCTGCGCTCGTCTGGTCTGTCTCGTATGGCGAGAACATTGCCTCACAAACCGTGGCTGACGTCAACCGTCTTGATGTCGAGTTCCAGAAGGCTGCCATTCTCGGCCACACAATCATTTTCGCCTCTGGCGACTCTGGTGTCTACTCGCGTGGCGCCACCTACCTCAAGTTCCACCCCGGCTACCCCGCGTGCATGGCCTCTGTCATCTCGGTCGGCGCCACCGAGTACAACGACGACGACACCGAGACCCAGACCACCAACTGGTCTGGTGGCGGTTTCGCCCTCAGCAACTACGTCAACGCCTCCCAGGCTCCCTGGCAGATTGCCGCCGTCCAGGCCTACCTCAACTCTGGTGTCGAGCTTCCCCCGTCTGGCCAGTACGACGCCATGGGCCGTGCCTTCCCCGACGTCTCGGCCTTCGGCCTGAACTTCCAAATTTACGAGGGTGGCTTCGCCTCCTCGGTCTCTGGCACCAGTGCCGCCGCCCCGACCTTTGCTGGCATCTTCTCGCTCGTCAACGACGCCCGTCTTGCTGCTGGCAAGAGCCCCCTCGGCTTCCCCGCCTACTTCCTCTACCAGAACGCCCAGGCCTTCAACGACATCAAGATTGGCTACAACAAGGCCAGCGGTCTCTACGGCTTCCACGCCACCACCGGCTTTGATCCCCTGTCGGGCCTCGGCACCCCCAACTACACCCGCCTGAAGGCCGCTGCTCTTGCCCTCCCTTAAACAAAGAAGCGAGCAATCAGCTGCGGTTGTTGTTGTAGTTGTTGTTGTTGTTGTTTTTTCCAATCAATACAGATTGTCTCTACTTGATTGTTCATGACGTCCGTGTTTGTTGTGATCCACAGTTCATCACCTAGATTTAGCTGTTCAGTCCTTTACTTTGATTTTATTTCTGGGGGTTTCTGAGAAATGAGTTCGGCCGACCCCGCGCAACTCTTCGACGGGCCCGTCGGCTCGGGTAGCGGCGGCAATGCGTCTGCAAGCAGCAAGAGCACCGCAGCGCCATCCAGCAGCACCACTAACACTAACGCATATCTGTAAGCGAGATTGAGGGTGGATGTTCAGTGTGAGACGTGGCAAAGCGCTCTTCTCTTGCAACCCTCAGCCGTCGGGCTCTGGTTTCGATTCACTTATGTTACGTGCCTCTCGTTTGTTGACTTTTGGGGTGGCGGGGGTTTTGGGGCCTTTGGGTAGACATCCAGTGGCCGTCGCCTTCCACCTGCTCTTCCGCACGGGCGCCGTGCTCGCGTACTTGCTCTGCGGCTTCTTCTCGGACAACTTTGTGACCAACTTTATTGTGATTGTCATGCTGCTCTCGTTGGACTTCTGGACGGTCAAGAACGTCAGCGGACGCATCCTCGTTGGCCTGCGCTGGTGGAACGAAGTCAAACCCGACGGCCAGACAATGTGGCGCTTCGAGTCGCGCAAGGTAACGTTCAGCATGTTGTGCACAATTTGGCACGATCTGTGCTGTGTGGAAATTTTGGTTTTGGACGATGGAGGAGGGGGGTGGGGTGGAACATTTTTGTCCGTGCATCCGCTAATCGGTCGAATCTCAACCTGTAACCACTTTGATGGCTTCTTCTTGGTGTAGGACACGTCCGGCATCGACGCCAACGAATCAAGGCTCTTCTGGATCACGCTGTATCTCTACACGGCTGTGTGGCTGTTATTCTCAATCCTCAACCTGGCCCTCAAGTTCCAGTGGCTTCTCGTCGCTTTTGTTGGCTTGGCCCTGAATCTCGCCAACGTTATTGGCTACACAAAGTGCGACAAGAATGCAAAGCAAAAGCTCGCCAACCTTGCAGGCAGCTTTGTAACACCCAGCATGGTGACTTCCGCTGCAAAGACGCTCATCTCGATGGCCACCTCCAGCAGTAGCAACAACAACCAAACACGGCAACCGTCTGGAGTTTGAGCGAGCTCGATATAGTTTTTGTTTCGTGTTTTGTGTGTGTGTGTGTGTGTGTGTGTGTGTGATAGGCTGCGTGCCAGTGATGCAATAAGAATTGCTTAATATTGTTTTCCAATGCGGCGAAACGAAATCAAAAACAAACAAAACACAAACACACACACTTCCAACGTTATGCTGGAAACGAAAATGGTTATCATGGCAAAAAAAAAAGGAGCAGGACGCGAGAGCATTAGTGTGCACCGGCAGGATGAGCCTCGCAGTGAGCCTTGATTTGGCCAATGATGCTGTTGTAGGCCACAACGGCAGGTGAGTCGGCAATTTCGTCCAGATAGCTCTTGCCCTCATCGCAAGCGCGTCCTATCCTAGGATCTAGTGGAATGCGTCCCAAGAATGGCACAGCCATGTCTGCTGCCATTTTGGCGGCGCCGCCAGTCGTGGGAGGGAAGATTTGAGATTCGTTCTGGAACCGTTGGAGCAATCGAAAAGGTCAATCACCCAAAGCTGAAACGTCCGCTGAATGCAACGCAAGTGTTGCTCAAACGACATACCTTGCAGCTCGGGCAGACAAACCCACTCATGTTTTCAATGACACCAATGACGGGCAGTTTGACCTTGCGGCAAAAGTTGATTTCCTTTCGCACATCGCTGAGAGCGACTTCTTGAGGAGTAGTGACAATCACAACACCGTCCACATGCGTCGTGGCCAAGTACTGAGAAATGGACAAGTGCTCGTCCGACGTGCCTGGCGGTGTGTCAACAACCAAGTAATCGAGCTCGCCCCAGTCCACGTCTTTGAGGAATTGCTTGATCAGTGCTGTGCATCGATTCGACAATGGAGTGAGTACCAAAAAGACAAGAGCGCTGCTCAAAACAACAAAACGAGAAGTCGGGCCCCCGCCCCCAAAAAAAAACACCAAAAAAAAAAAAAAAAAAAAAAAAAAAAAAAAACAAAAAAAAAAAAAAAAAACGTACTGTTCTTCTTGGGTCCGCGCCAAATAATGGCCTCGTCGGGGTTGGGCAACAAGAAGGAGGCCGACATGACACCGAGATTGTCAGCAACAAACACGGGCGACCAACCACTGGCGCTCTGGTGCACCTGCTCTCCTTCGAGACCCATCACTTTGGGAATGGAAGGGCCGCAAATGTCGATATCGAGCACGCCGACCTAGGACGAACAGACGAATTGAAGCAAAGTGATAAGCAAGTAACAAGCGAGTGAGTTTGATGCCATGGACCCCGTGGATTGACCAACACAGAACGAGCAGAGTCGTTGGTACCTGGGTTGCCTCATTTCGAGCAAGTCCAAAGGCCAACTGCGCAGTGACCGTGCTCTTGCCAACGCCGCCCTTGCCAGACAGGACGAGGATCTTGTGTTTGATCGTGCTCATCCGCTGACGGACTTGCTCGACGTCTGCGACCAACCAAAGCGGCCAAAACGGAGATTTGTTTGTAGTTCGGTCAGCAGCAGCAGCAGCAGCAGCAGCATGAGACGAGATCACCAGCAGCCCGCTGCAACGAGCGCTCTGCCATGGTGATGGTGGAATGCACGCAAAGTGTTGGAAGCAGGGAGAGGGGGGGGAGAGGCGTACCTGGGTCGGGGCCGGCTGGGCGGGACGACGCGCAGATGGTCTGGTTTGGGCAGCCCGCACACGCGGCCGACTTGCCCGCTGCATTGCTATCCGTGCCAGGGCAATCTGCAACGGGAGGGGAGGAGGGGGCACAGGGTTGAGTGACAATGGGTGCCAGTGCAAGCACATGTACTGCGCAGCGAAGGTCCGTCTCTCTCTCTCTCTCTCTCTCTCTCTCTCTTCCTCTCTCTCTCTCTTCCTCTCTCTCTCTCTCTCTCCCTCTCTTCTTACGCTCTGGTGCGTCTTCGGGCACGTCGGCGCTGCGATTCTGAACATCCACTTGCGTTGACATGATTTGTCAAGGACAAGGCTTTTGTGTCTGTTCTTTTTGGATTTTGAAGAGTGACACGAACTTTGCAAAGGGGACGGTTACATTTGTATTATGGTCGATGAAACTGGTGGAACAAGAGGTGCATTGAAAGCTCAGCACACGACCAGCAAAGCCGACACACAACACCCTTCAAGAGAAATTGTGGGCTTCAATAGACAAAAAGAAAAAAGCCTCGTTTTAATTCTTCTTGGTCTTGGTAGCCGCCTTCTTGGGCTTTGCAGCTTGCGCGGTCTTGGTCTTGGCAGCCACCTTCTTGGGCTTTGCAGCTTGCTCAGTCTTGGCAGCCGCCTTCTTGGGCTTTGCAGCCGCCTTCTTGAGCGTGGCAACAGGCTTTTTGCCCGGAGCGGGGGCCTTCTTGGCAGCCTTAGCATCCGAAGCTCTTACTTCCTTGCGGGTCGGCGCTTGTTTGTCAGCAGCGGCTCTGCTCGCAGCAAGGGCCCCCTTGGCCTTCCTGGCAGAAATGGAATCAAGTTCCACCTTCTGGACAGCGGCGGTCTTGGCGGGCGCAGCCTTCTTGGCAGCAGCGGCCACCTTGGCGACCTTGCTCACGGCGCCAGACCGGGGCGTGTAGTCGTCGTAGCGATAGCCATAGCCGTCGACGTGTTGCTGCAGCATGCAACAACGAGATGATTTGCTTGTGAGTCCCAAAACCAAAAAAAAAAAAAAAAAAAAAAAAAAAAAAAAAAAAAACATACACAAAACGAAAAAAACAAAGTGTTCCAGTGCGTCCAGCGACCCCGTGAAAATACACAGTCCACTTACATCCTCGTCCTTCCACTGGAACTTGACGCTGACTTTGGTGGGGTCGACGTCAGCGGCGGTGACGGATCCCATGGCAGCCGAAACGGCAGCAGCAACCTTGCGCTTGACGGCTTCCGTACGCACAGCCTTGTTGAGCCAAGTAATATAGACGTGGGGCATTTCTGAAACAAACAAACAAAAAAAAATACAAAGAAAATGTGATCAGTTGATTGAGTCGAGATAACATTTAGTGAGGGAGTCAGTAGCGGATTTGTTTGAGGCTTGGCGGAACATTTGCGCATACGGAAAGTTTTCCCGCCAAAAAAAAAACAACAAGAAAAACCAAAAAAAAAAAAAACAAAAATAAAAATAAAAGAAAGAAGAGAGCACCACCACGCCCGCCGCCTCGTCCGCCCGTCCTCGCAGACTCGGTCAATCGGGAGGGGACTTTTTGTTCCAAGCAGGCGTGGTGCAGGAAGAGGAAGCGAGGAGGGTTGAGCTGGACGTGATGATGGAGAGATCGTCCCTCTGCCAAATGCCTGCGTTCGCTGCTGCTGCTCTGCCCCAACCCCCCTTCAGCCAGCCACGCTCCGTCAAAGTCAAGTCACACACACACACACACACACAACTCCCCCCTCCCTTCGTATGAATTGGAACCTGCACGGAAAGTTGTGCGTGTTGTGGCTGACAATGCGTTTTGCATTGCGTTTTTCAAACATTCAAAAACAAACAAAAAAAAAAAAAAAAAAAAAGCCAACCGATAGATAATCAAAACAAAAACTGGTTTCAAACACAAAATCCAACCAACAAAAATACACGCAACGCGAATCACAGTTTGTTGAAAAATCGAGCGGCTTTGCTTTCTTTGAACGACGGAATCCACGTTGAAGGGCAAGTTGCTCGAGACGGTTGACCGCGCGAGACAGTCGCAAACAAACAAACGCGCGACCACCAAAAAGCAACCAGACACACACACTCTCAATGTAGACAAAACTGGGTTAACGACGTCATCCTGCATTGAAGATGAGACAGACAGTTGCTCGAGACAGTCGCAAGCACCCAAACAAGGAACGGTCACAAAATGAATCAATGAATTCATGAACGGAACCGAACAACAGCTCAGTCCCTCAGTTTGGCTCGCTTGTTTGGTTTTTTTGAATTTTGAGGAAGCACGAGTAGCGCCAGCCACATGTCTGAACTGGATCCTGGCACGGTGGAGGCCAACATGCGCGTCCTGCTTGGTAAGTGCCGCGAAACGGAGAGCGAGAGTGACGTTCGAGAGCGAGTGTGTGAGCAACAAGTTGGAACGAGCACAAAACCGAACAGACCTCGATTGTCCCTTTGAATCCACCACCATCCGTCCGACCTGTCATCGTTGTGATGAAGCAGTACTATCGCGAGTGGGTGTTTTCCCCCGAATCGGACATCCCTCACACACACACACAACGTCACTTTCGAACTGCCAGCAAGGCGAAACGAGTGTTTTTTTTTTTGTTTTTTTTTTTTTGTTTTTTCCCTTTCGTGCTGCATCGTCGTCTTCCGCCCTCCATTCAGCGCGGCTTTGGCAGTCATCCTTGTCTCTCCATCTATTTCGTGTGCTTGTGTGCTTGTGTGTGTGTTTGGATGCAGCCGTGCGAGTGCGCTGCGTTCATGGCTGATTGCGTCCCCCCTCAGTCAGGTGCTTTTGGCCCGTTTTTGTCCTCCCTTCAGCTTTCTCTACTGCTTCACTCTCGCAGCCATTCACTCACTCTGCCTGTCACCAAAGACAACTTGCGAGCTTGTGATTTCATTCTGACGTTTTTCGTGTTTGTTTGTGTTTGTGCGTGCGCAGCCAAGACGTGCGACTACAAGAACGAGCAGGAGGATTGGGGCGCAATCACTGACATTATCGACACGATCAAGCGCGCGCAGCTCCCGACAGGGTGAGTTCCTCGTGAAGATTTTTGTTTGGAAGGTGGAAAGGGGGTGGGGGAAGCGGGCAATGATAGGTGTCGTGGTGTTGTGATGCTGTAGATGGCACGGCTCAGCCACTTTGTGCGCAACTTCAATTTCCTCGCTCATTCACTCACTCACTCACTCATTTTGCTCGGTAGACCCGTTGTCGCTGCAAACCTCATCGTCGAATACATTCGCCTGCCCAACGCCAAGATGGCTGGGTATGCATTGACCGTGCTTGATGCGGCGCTCAAGAATGGCGGCATGCCGTTCCAGGATGTTGTGGGCAAATTCAAGTTCCTGAACGAGCTCGTCAAGCTCGTCTCCAAGAAGGTAAGAGACCCAACAAATTTCGTGCAGGATTTGGGAGTTGGGGCAGGGGGGGGGGCAAGAGAAGGGGTGATGTAACCGCCAGCACAAGATGGCTTTTCAGCCACAGCGCTTCGTTTTGAGCCAATCTTGACGTGTGTGATCTCTTGTAGTATGCCCCAAACACCCCAGAGCCTGTGCGAAAGCGCATTCTGCAGCATCTGCAAGAGTGGGCTCTGACGCTGCCCCACCATCCCAAACTCATGGAGGCGTATCAAATGCTGAAGAGCCAAGGCTTTGAGTTCCCTCTTGCGCCGAACGAAGGTGCCCCCGTCATGCGGCCCGACTCGGATGTAAGAATTGTCTCTGCATTGTTGTAGAAGCTGGCTTTGTCAGACAAGTGCAAACCCCGCTCACACCTGCCGTCTCGAATGCGACATTGTCAGTTCCTTGAAAAGGACCGCAGCATGATCAAGGCTATGGACAACCGCCAAGTAAAAGAGGTAAATGCCCCAAATGTCCAGGAACATTCGTTGATTACGTTTGACTCGCTGATCAAGCTTGACTCAAACTCTTCTTGTTCATTGTATTTTTTTTTTCAGCATCTGGATAAACTGCTCAAGAGCAAGGACAAGCGAGACATCCAGCGCGCCAACATTCTCATCAAAGAGATGTACAGCAATGTATGCAAAAACAGGGGGTGGGGGGGGGGTCAACGAAGAGCTGTTGGTTTGAAAATAGAAAAGTCATGCCCACATCTTTTTCTTTTTTTTGTGTGTCCTCGTCGGGGTCGCTTTGCCACAGGACAACAAGATTGAGCAGCGTGACCGAAAGCTCCAGTCCGACCTCGAGCTTGTGCGCAACAACATTCATCTCTTCAACGAAATGATTGTGAACGCCACGGACGGCTCGCTTGCCACGAACGATGTGATTGTGGATTTGCACACGTCGCTCACCAAAGTCTCTCCCCGCTTGGTCGGCTTGATCGACAAGCTCACGGACAAGGATCCCGGTATGTACCTTGTCAGGCGCAACTATGCCATTGCAACCAAGCCAACCCTCACACTTTGCTCTCCCAATAATCACCACTGTAATAGAACTCGAGGAGGTGTTGCTGCTCAACGACTCGGTCAATCGCGCACTGGAAAACTATGGTCGTATCCAGACTGGTCAGCCCGTGCAAATGGTGTCTCAGGATTTGCCGGCCGTGCCCTCGACCGCCGACCAGGTTGCTGCAGCCGGTGCCGCAGTTGCCAAGCAGTCGGACACGCTGATCGACTTTGATTTCTCCGCTTCTGCCGCCAGCACCGCCGCCCCTGCTCCGCGAAAGAGTGACGTCAGTCTGTTGGACGAGCAGCTGTTGGCGCTTGGACTCGATGGCATGCCATCGCCAGCCGTTAACGCAGCACCTGCGGCTCCGACGGACGCTTCGTCCCTTGCTGGCCTGTCGTTCACTCCTGTCGCGCCCTCGTATGGATTTGCTGGCACCGCCAGTTTCCCCGCTAACGCGTTTGGAGGTGCACCCGCCGCCAATCCGTTCGGCGCACCTTCGGCATTTGGGGCGCCTGCTGCGTTCGGCGCTCCAGCCACCTTCGGCGCTCCAGCTGCATTTGGAGCACCCGCATTCGGTGTCGCACCACCCGCCATCAACCAGTTTGGAGCACCCATGGGCGGCTTCCCCCAACCACCGCAGTCGCAACCACAACAACCTCATATCCAGCAGCAGCCTTTCGGCGCGTTCGCAGCACCGGCCCCTGGGGGTCGCAGCATTCCCCCTTCGGCCATCAACGCAGCCATGTTCGCTGAAGCGTCTGCCGCTCCTGCACCCGCACCCGCGCCTGCTTCTGTTCCTGCAGCGAAACCGGCCGCTCCGTCGTTCTTTGATCCGTTTGCCGACTTTGCAACCATCCCCAACTCTGCTGCCCCAGCTGCTGCTCCAGCTGCTGCAGTTCCCGCCATGCTTTCGGCTGCTCCTGCTGCGGCCGCCACCTCGTCCCCTTCCTTTGGCGCACCCCTCGTGCCGTCCCCCTCCTCCCACGCAGCGCCAGTGTCAACGACATCTACTTCGCTCGGCATGTCGGACATTGATGCCCTCCTCGGCCTTGATGCACCTGTGACCACCGCTGCTCCTGTCGCTGTAATCTCCCCCGTTGCCGCCTCCCCCGTCGTTAGCAACGTGTCCGCCGCCCTTCCCAACATTGACGACATGCAGGTCTCCATGGAGTCTGTGGAGCTAAGTACGTGAACAATGGTTGTGTTGCTTTTTTAAAAAAAAAAATCTTTCGGGCTAATGTTTGATGGGCTGCTTGGATTGGCAGGCAACACTCCTCCGTTGAACGTCTTTGACAAGAATGGCCTGCGTGTCATGTTCCATTTCGCCAAGAACACGCCGCACCCCAAGGTGTACGTGGTCGTGCTCGTGTACTCAAACTCTCTTCCCTCCGCCATGAGCAACTTTGTCTTCCAGGTGGCCGTGCCCAAGGTAAGATTGTTGTGTTGGCGAGGCCTGTCTCGGTTTTTACTTGTTGTGTTTTGGTTTGAAATCCCCTCATTCTGCCCTTCTACTGTCATTTTTTTGTTTTTCTGTTTGTTTGTTTTTTTTTTTTTTTGTTTGTTTGTTTGTTTGTTTGTTTGTTTTTTGTTTTGTTTTTTTTTTTTGTTTGTTTTTTTGCGCAGACCATGAAAGCCCGCCTTCTTCCTGCGTCGGCCGATGAGCTTCCCGCTTTCAACGTCCTCAAGGGCCCCTCGTCGGCGACCCAAATTGTGCTCATCTCAAATTCCTCGGATGTAAGTCCAAGTTTGCCCTTCCCCCCCCCCCGCTCTGTTTGGAGGAAGAAGCGTTGTTGCAGCAGTAGTTTTTGGAGGAAGAAGCGTTGTTGCAGCAGTTGTGTGAGGTGATGCTCACTTGACAGCATTTCTGAACTCAGCAACCCGTCCGCGTCCGCTTCCGCATCAACTATACATTGAATGGCGCACCAATCAGCGAGCAAGGCGAGGCGTCTGGATTCCCTTAACTTTGAAAACTTGAACTGTTGCTTGGTTTGTGTGCTCTGAACGAAAACGAGGAATTGTGCTGTTGTTTGTTTTTGTTTTGGTTGTTTCCCGAATCATACGCCTCCCTGTCTTTCTTGTTTCAACATTTGTCGACCGTTTGTTCAGTCCTTCTGCCAATCCAATCGTGTCAAACTCGGTCCGAGCTGCTTTGCTTTTGTGAGCTCACCAGGAAATTTGCGGGTATACATTTTGCAATGGTAATTTTTCCCCAGTTCACTGAGGCCACTGTGCACCACCGCCCGCCGCCCTGACCCCATCAGGTTTGTACATGACCTGGCAGCACCCCGTGGCTGCATGGGCGAGGACGGGGGACACCTGCATCGTCGTGTACGGATACCCCCTTTTTGTGTGTCGCAGCTGGTGACGAGGTCCCTCAAAACGGCACTGCAGCCCCTTCTACTGTACACCATTGGAATGAGCCGATTTTTTAGATATAGAATCATGTGCGAGACGGCCAGGAGCGAAGCGCTGGAGGCCGCACCAGGTTTCGGGTCCGTCGCGGCCAAGCCGACCGCTCGATCTCGGCCTAGACCGCACCCACCGCCGATATTATGGTCTCTAAAAATCTAGTAGATGGGTCTGGTACCTCCATTGAACGGGCGGGCCTGGGGCAGTGTCCGACTGCTGGATATGGACAGCCGTCCACGAGCCCTCAGGGCGCCGACTAGGGCAGTCCGTTAGCGCCACCTCTAGTATAGAAAGTTAGCGCTTGGCATGGTGTATATGAATCCGGGATCGGTCGGGCGGTAGCGCTCGATAGCACGAAGAAGGACTGAATCGGACTTTCGAATTTCGTCCAAAACCTGCTAGCCCCGAGATCGATGCCTTTCACCAGCTCTGCCCGTGTAATCCATACATATTCCGTTTGTTCAATGTCTGATGAGTTGGAAACCGTTATGGCGAGTGAGATGCCGCACGATGCGTCCGACTTGGCTTCTCGCTCGTATCCAGCCATGTAGACACCTAGGAGCTTGACCAGCCATATATCAATGTACTCTATACACTCTATAGTATCCGCTCTATATCGCGCGTGGACAGTGATCGTTGGTGTCTAGTTGATGCACCCGACCAAACATTCGACGGGCGTTAACTTGCGATTTCCGAGTCGCATCCATGAAATATTTTACCAGACAACAGTAAATTAGTACTAGAGTCTAAATCATTGATGCGGAATTGCGGTGATATCTGGAGGGTGGATCACGAAGGGTCGGAAATGACCCATTTGGCGGGTGCTCGATCTTTGTCCAGCATCGTCCGATCTCTGATATTGTAACTTTTTCTTGCTTCTGACGTGCATTAGACATCACATCTGCGGAGGGGCGGATGTGGTACTAAATCATGCGGAGAGGGAGGAGGCCAAAGTTTCGGCCAACTCGCAAAACCAAGGATCGAGTGTCCGGTCGTTTTACCGGCCGTCCATGCTGCCACCGGTACGTGATAATACTTACCAATAGTGTTAGAGTTGCTTTGCTTTTGTTCCGACCGATTCCACCTGATAGAAGCCGACTTAGCGAATCGTGCAAATGGTCTTCTTGACGCTCCTCGTGTGACCACCACTGCCGTGATACAACAAGTTTCGAGGTTTTAAAAGTGTTGTCAGATAATTTACATTTGAATCATAGCCGTTAGTGGCCATTGGTACTCACGTATCTTGTAGTGGGATGAGACTTGCTTTTAGTGACTCGACCGCGGCTTTGGGGTGCATGAACGCCTCAAGATCCCATCCCCATCCATGTTTATCAGTATTGTATCGTTTTCTGTGATTAGTGGGCCTAGTCCATAGCACTGGCTGGTGGCAGAAACTTGACTGCGCTGAATTCCTCTTCGCGCTTGAGTCTGTCTCTTCAAGCTGATCTACCTCGAACAGATCGTGCTTCAGACCAGGTCTATGACATGTAACCGATAGTAGCATCAATTCTAGTTACGTGGCTATCCAGTATGAGGCATGAAACCAATGTTGTACCCCTAGAATCATGTTCCTTCGGCGAGCTAGTTTTGCTGAACCAACTCCGTCTGTCTACGCCAGCGAAATCGTCTAAAACCGTACCCATATGGAATAGATGAAATTAAATACATAAATTAAACAATAAAACACAAGAGCAGCGGACTAAACACCCTTCAAGCCTTCGTTACGTGCGGTGTCCAGCAGCGGGCGGCATCAGCGAGCCACTTGAACCGCACATGCTCGGCAATCAGGAGCGACAAGGGAGGTACGGCTTGAAATCTGGAAGGTTGACCAACGTTGGCCGGAGGTGGATCGGTAGGGACCCACGGCCACGGGTTTGACGTGGAGGCCTGCAAGTCTTCTGCTGACACGCCGAGCCGTGCAATCCTCTCGGCCATCCACAAGGCGAGCCAACCACAAGTCCAAGGAGGTTCCTCCGTCTGGCCAGGCCCTTGGTGCCCGTAGATAGAACCCGGCTCGGGAACAAAGCTCCATTCAGTCGAGTCCGGCAAGAACGATTTAACAATTTCGACGCCGGTTTCTTCAGTCCCTCGAAAATGCGGATGGTGAAGGTTTTCCGATGCAGCACAACGAGGAACCAGTGCTGCTCTCGATTCGCTGGAAAGATGACAAGGCCATCTTCCGATGCAGCGACTGTGTCAGACAATGAATCGTTGCACTCCGAGAACATGATTTCTCGGTTGGAGTGGCCTCGCAGTGATCTGTCCATGTCAGCAGTCCCGTTGGCGTCGAAGGTCTGCTGCTTAGGCAATCGATTACCTCATGCTGTGAGTCACCGCTCTCCGCAATCAAGCAACCGCGGTCCAACCTTAACACACACACACACACATCATACCCAAAAGGTGACTTTGACCCCATTTTGCGAGGTAATGTTTGCTTGTTGCAGGCGCCCGAAGCAAAAGTCAAGCGCTTCAGCGGACATCCACTCAGAGCCCTTGTCGTCGAAGGGCTTCAAGACTTGTCTCGCTGGCAGATGCTCGGACGCATCTATCCCAGGCGAATTGAGCTTGATCGGGATTCTCCCGTCATAGAGCTGAAGGAACTCCTGCACAGTTTGCAAGGCCTTCGGGGACAGGTTGGCGGCCGGTTGGGCAGCTGCTGAGATTGAAGCCGTCGACTCTGCAGACGAGTTGGCGGGCGGTTGGGCAGTGGCGGGGATCAAAGCCATCGGCTCGGCGGACAGTTCGGTGGGCGGTTGGGTCGACTCTGCGGACACGTTGTCGGGCGGTTGAGTAGCGGCTGGGATTGTGCGTGAGACCCGCAGGGGTGTGAACTGCAAGGCCTGGCAGGCTCTCATGAGCCAACGGTACGCGAGAATTCTAGGCTTGGGGTGCACGGCGAGCTCTTTTTTGATTGCCTCGGGATCTGTCCACATGCTTGCCCACAGACGCATCATCAGGGTCGGCCTCGGTAGTTGAACAAGTTCGGTGAGGCCTGCGGAGGCTGCTTGTTGCGCAGAAGGGCGGCCAGGAGGAGTCTGCGGCGGTTGTGCGGACCTAGTAGCGCAGTCACGCCTGACTGTATGCGGAGGTTGCACGTGCCCTGCATGCGAAACAGAAGAAGAAGGGCGGTCACAAAGAGCAGAGAGAGGCGTGCGTTCTGCTTGGTCGACCTGCATCGGTTCAGCGGACCCAGAATCGTGGATGCGACTGCCTGCATGCGGAGCTGGAGCATGTGCCGTATGCGCAGCATGGGAAACCGATGCATGTGAAGCACGAGCAGGAGCACCAGCAGGACTATGTTGAGCAGGTGCACCAGCAGCAGGGGCTTGAGCAGGTGCTGTCCACCGGACTTTCGTTGCAGCAATATTGCGTCGTGTGACGGGGTCCAGGGGCGAGAAAAGCAACGAGAGCTCGGCAGCAGACACGCTCTTGCCGCTGGGGTGCCCAGGCATCGGAAAGCCAAAGTAGCGCTCTCCACGTCGTCTTCAAGCCTGGCATCAAGCTCCAGTTCTGGGCGCAACACGTTGCGTGCAGTGGGCATCAGCACGACACGGTCATCGTGGTTGTGCTTGACAAGGGAGAACTTGATTTGCTTCTTGTCGTCCTGGGGGAGGTTGCACATGTGATGGAAACACGCGTGCGGGTGCTGAGCGGGGCGACGAGGGTCGTGGCCGGCACGAGAAATTTGGCACGACAGGCGTACTCGGACGCGGCCTTCCCCCCACGAAACAATGAAACGCTGTCAACGCGGTGCAGCAGCTCGACGCACGCCCAGTCCGTGAAGGCATCCGGAGGAGCATTCGTGAGACGGTACCCAAACAGAAACTTGCCAAGATAGCTTCTTGTGTCGATGCGAATCTTGACACGAGGCGCGGTTCTTGGTGCTGCCGGCGCGCTGCAGCATGCCCAACATACGGACTGTGTTTATATAATGTGAGTGCGTGTCACTAGATGTGCTTCGACCCGGTCTTTCCGGAGAAAACGATTGAAAACGTCCTGTCCGCAGCTGCCGCAGCCGCAGGTGTAGCCACTTCGAGGATTTCCATCCTTTCGCGACTCCGTGCCTGCCACGATCACCCCAGAGATCATATGACACTCTAAGCTATGCGACTGGCTGGGAGAACACCGGGGCATTGTCGGAACGACCAGAGCAGACTCGCCCGAATTGGTCGACGAGAAGAGTGAGCACAACCTGGATTTGGATGCATACAACATGTCCTTTCAAGGCAAAAGAAGTTCAGTAATCATCTGGCAATGTGCCACTGGAAGAAAGTAGAAGTAAAAGCGCCTTAAACGGCCTGGCTGGAGCCGACCGGTCGATTTTGCGAGCACCCATCTTCAAGCACGACCCGCGGCGTCTTTGAGATGCGCGTGCCTCTTCATTGAGCTGTTTCCGGACGAGAAAAATAATTTCGTGCTTGGTTTTAATGACATCAAGGGGTGAAGGAAGGCAGAATCAGTCTACACCTCGACACGAGTGACAAGCGGCGAAATGGCCGCTGCAAGACATGTCTAGACCCAATATCGCCGCCTTTCAGGTATTATTGCAATGTTTGACATCATTGAAGATATTTGGAATCAAAATGCAGGGCGGATAGGCAACTCAAACAAGAAAAAACACTTCAACGAAGCAAGGTCGTCTGGCCGATTCCAATTTGAACAAGACCTTCTGTTTGAGGCTGTCACTCATTCCGGCTCCGCCCAACCTTTGGGCAATTAATGGGCATATATTAGCGTCACCAATAACCACCGAAAACCCGGTACAAACAGACCTTGTCAGGCGGGGAAAAGTCGACAAAGCGACATGGCGCGAAAAATTACCAAGTTCAAATTTTCCAGTCCTGTGCGTTGCTATTGAGGCTCTTCCCCTCGCCTCATCGCCCCGCTTCCAAATTCAGTGCACAATAGGGTGTAAACTCTACACATGGACAAAGTAAAATCCGAGAAAAGTCGACCAGAAGCCAGGGAGGGAAGGGATGAATGGCGACCAAATTTGGGGACATCACTCTTCAACCACCACCTCCTCCTCCTTGACGCTCCCGGCCCGGATATTTGACGGAAACTCTTGCACCTATCGCATGGAACATGTAGAACCGCACACAGACAGTGAGAAGCATCGTGAGGGCGTCGTGGAGGCTCGATGTGGCGCGTGTTTCAACCGTGTTTCAACGGCTTTCTTGTTTCGGCCATTCACTTGCGTGTACTCGCCTCGTCCTTGCAGATGCGACCGTGCCTCTTTGGCCACGTGTGTACATCTGTCAACTCTATCTGAATCCAATGCGGCGACGACCTGGCACGAACACTGGCATCAGGAACTTGACCAAGGTAAAACCGGCTGTTTGAAACAAGCGATCGTGTCTTTTTTTTTTTTTTTTTTCCATTCCCCAACTTGTTCCCTGCCCTGTGATTGCACGCTGCACGAGCCGCCCCACTCACACTGCAATGATGCCCCGTAGTCGACCTGCACCCGCGCCGCGCCGCGCCGCGCCGCACACGACCCTGCTGGCCTAGACTGTACGCTGTGCTGAACGAAACAATGACTTTTTTTCTCACTTTCTTCCCCCACATGTTGGTGATGTTTCATAAGGCGTCGCGACCCTCCACCGATGCTATCATCAAGAAACAGAGCCACCTTCAGTTAGTCACAGTTCCCACCCCA